CAACCCAAGCGAACACGTACTATATATTGAAAGCTAGTCATTCAATTAGCTAGTAAAACACTTACCAAACTGATTTCACCAGTTTGTGCCCAGCCTGCTGCACAACGTTCATCAGTTTCCATTCGTGTGGAAATAAATTCGAGGACAAGAACGACTTTACAGATGGGGTTGCATCATTCTTCCATTCGTTTCCAGCTTTGCCAACCCATATAGCCGTTGTATACATACGGCCTCCGTCATATTCATCATTTGGTAAGATGTCATTTTTCTTTTTTGAAAGGAATTAACAGCATATATAAAAATATTAATATTTTTTATAATACACTATAGAATATATTTTCATAACAAATATATTTGGAGACCACAACTCTTGATATTATTTATATATAAATCTAGTAAAACTTATAAAACTTTGACTCTTTGAAAGGTGAGATATATATATTTTTATTTTAAAATTGAGGGAGTACATTATTTTTATTCTAATAGTAAACAAGTGAGCTTTGGATAAGATAAATCCAAATGTACAGGCATCGAATCAGTAATTCGGTATCCATTAGTTTCCTGACAGCCAGCTCTGGACACGTTGAGATTCTATTCTATCAAAGTAATTTTTGGATAAGATAGACTCAAATGACAAGATTTATATAGATAATAACACATTTCGTTAAATTAAACTCCGCGTGAAGATAAATTTCTAATAAGGAGAAGAATCCTCATATATTGCAATCCAATCCAATCCAATCCATTGATGTCGGCCCTATCCTTTTTTTTTCTACCAACTGTATATATCTTGATGAACCGCCATTACTCCCTGCCATCATGGCAGAACCCCTTACCAAGAAACAGATTAAGGACGGGATAACCTTCCCAAACAAACGGATAAAACCTTCGGCCCGCCGTCTCGCTGCCGGGTGGGCCACCCGCCATAAACCACACGCGCCGGGCCATCCGCCCCCGGCCTTCAAAACCCCCGGCGCCCGGCGCTCGCTTTCGCTATCTCGTCCAAGTGCCCCCCCATCTCTCCCGTCCGTGATCATTTGCCTGTCCTTATCGTCCTCTCTCTCTCCCTTTTTTCCTGCGACCAATCCGCATGCTTGTTTCGTCCGCCGCCACAGCTATGGACGGTGACGGCAAGGAGGACGCCAACAAGCAGCGCCTCGACTGGGCCACCATGAATCTGGAGCGCGGCGTCGTCGGCGGCGAGAAGAATGGCGGCAATGCGAGCCGGAAGCCGCCGATAGGCATCGTCCGGCTCTTCTTGGCCTGCATGGTCTCCGGCGGCATCCAGTACGGCTGGGCGCTGCAGCTCTCCCTCCTCTCGCCCTACTCTCAGGTACAGTTCATTTTCATCAGTTCATGTCGTCTTTTGTTCTTTGGTGTCTGTTCATACATGTTTGGTTTTCTCTGATAATTTTCATGGCCTGATCGATGTTTGGTATATGCCCGCCCAGACTCTTGGGATCTCGCACAGCTACGTGTCTCTGACATGGATCTGCGGGCCTATCGCCGGATTTGTGGTACGTGCATTCTCTTGTTCTTGTATATATATGATTCTGATTCTGATTCTGATCCTATCTCTTACTACTAAGTTGCTAGGAGTATTTGGATAAAGATAAAGAACGTTAAATTTTGTGAAATCAAAATAAATCTGTGCAGGTTATGAAACTGCTCACCTACGATTTATTTCCATCTTAATGTTGTAGCATTGAGGTTTTAATTACCAAGATTTATTTTTCAAGAGATAAGATAATTACCAAGATTTATTTTCAGGAGATAAGATAAGATAATTACTACCAAGATCCGTTTTCATACGTCCGTCCAGTCATCTTCTTCCCCTTTTCCGAGGCCGGCCGGGGATTAATGTGGCCATTACTCGAATTGATTTCTCGTTGGCAGGTGCAACCCATCGTGGGCTACTACAGCGACCGGTGCACGTCGAAGATGGGCCGGAGGAGGCCCTTCATCCTCGCTGGATGCATCATCATCTGCCTCTCTGTAAGCACACATCATGACATCACACTTTTGCGTTGCGATCCCTTTGCTTTTTACTGATGATGATGGATGCTGGTGCTCCGGCAGTACTGGCAGTAGAGATTCCCTCGTGTTTGTTTGTTTTTTACTGATGATGATGGATGCTGGTGCTCCGGCAATGCAAGGTGATGATTATCGGGTTCTCGGCGGACATCGGGCGGCGCATGGGTGACACCAAGGAGCACTGCAGCACGTTCACCGGCTCCCGCTGGTACGCCGCCGCCGTCTACATTGTCGGCTTCTGGTTCCTCGACTTTGCCAACAACACCGTCCAGGGACCGGCTCGCGCGATGATGGCCGACCTAGCCGGTGAGCATGTGTTTCGATGGCGGTTTCTGTATTTGAACTCGATCACACGCACGCAGCGCAGCGCAGGATTAGTGATGCTAATGTTTGTTTGTTCATTTACTGCTGCAGCTGGACAGCACGGGCCCAACGTTGGCCAGGCCATCTTCTCCCTGTGGATGGCTCTCGGCAGCGTGCTCGGATACTTGGCCGGCGCCAACGCGAAATGGCACGAGTACGTAGCCCGGCCGCCTGATTCGTTCCCTTTTGTTTTGCTTTCCTTTCCTGAATCATTTATTTCTTTGAGGTCGTCCACTGATGTGTTGTTGACGATGCCCTGGTTGATCCATATCCATCAGGTGGCTCCCTTGGCTCAAAACCGCGGCGTGCTGCGATGCCTGCGCCAACCTCAAGGGCGCCTTCTTGACTGCGGTGGTGAGTTACTACGAGCACCACCATTAATGTTGTTGCTTCATTCGTCTCGCGTCTCTCGTTGCACTGAAATTTTGATCGATATATCGCTTTCCTTTGGTTTGTTGATTGATCAGATCCTCATTATACTCACCATGTCGGTCACCTTGTGGCTCGCCGGCGAGGAACTAATCGACAAGGACAACGTCGACGCCTCCGGCGGCGGCGCGTGCTCCGCGTTCGTCGATCTCTTCAAGAGCCTCAAGAACCTGCCCCCTGCCATGTTCAGCGTGCTCGCCGTCACGGCCGTCACCTGGGTACGTACGCGCGCCGCGCCGCACACCACTGACTCGATCTGACTGACTGACTGCCTTTCTCGATCGCAGCTCTCGTGGTTCCCGTTCATCCAGTACAACACGGACTGGATGGGGCGGGAGATCTTCCACGGCGAGCCGCAGGGCGCGGGCGGCAAGGCGGACCTGTACGACGCGGGCGTCCGCGAGGGCGCCGTGGGCCTCCTCTTCTGCTCCATCGCGCTGGGCGTCACCTCCTTCCTCATCCCCAAGCTGTGCCGGAAGCTCACGTCCCGGGTCGTCTGGTCCATCAGCAACCTCATGGTGTTCGTCCTCATGACGGCCATGGTTGTCCTCGGCATCGTCTCCATGAAGGGCTACAGGCCCTCGCTCGCCGCCTCCCTCTCCGCCGGCCCCGAACATAGGTTCAAGAGCGGCGCACTCGCAATCTTCGCCCTCATCGGCATCCCTCAGGCCGTAAGACACGAGTTTTGTTTTAACATTGGATTATTGCTAGCTGTTCTTCGGAATCCAGCCGTTCGTGCAGCTTGCTTGCATTGCTTAATTGTCGAATTGTTGCATGCACGCAGGTGCTGTTCAGTGTACCTTGGGCCGTTGTGTCTGAGGTTGCCGCTGAGGAGGGCGGTGGCCAAGGTCTCACCATTGGCGTCCTCAACATTGCCATCGTCCTTCCACAGCTGGTGATCGCGCTCAGCGCAGGCCCCATCGACGGCGCCTTCAACAAAGGGAACACCCCGGCCTTGGGCATCGGCGGCGTCTTCGCCCTCATTTGCGCGGTCCTGGCGCTCGTCCTTCTCCCAAAGACGACAGGCGTGTCCCACGCCGCCGTCATGGCCGGCGGCGGCCACTGATCTATCTCCATGCCTGTCTCAGAGGCTGGCCGGCCGAGAGTGGATCAGAAATTCAGAGTTTTCGGCCGCACCCGATCGATTAAAAACACAAGGAGGAAAGCACAGGGTTGGTTTCTATTTGTTAGATAAACCAACCCGTAGTGTTTTGGAGTCTGTTCATACATGCCTTAGGTTTAATTTCGGCGTTTAATCTATCTACTACTACTATTATTATTATATAATTCTGTGTTAGCTTTATTTTCCGATCCATTGGATTGGATTGTGCTACTTTACAGCAGGAGAGGGCGAGATAGGTTTTTCCAAATGTTTTGCACAACTGGAAATCTCGTCTCAGGTTCTCTCTGGTGTAATAGAATGGTTATAAGTCTGATTATCAATGGAAAAGAAAAAATTGCAGTCATTTTCGTTTGACGTGGCACGAGTAAGATCTGAATGTTTTTTGTTTGTTTGTTGGCACATCATCCTTAAGCGACAAAGTAAACTCTGTTGCGAACAAGTCATTGGTCTTGGGTACTTGCTGGTCAAAAGAAGCATTGCCATTGTTGGCAGCCTCAAGCACTGAACCATCAGATGCATTTCAGGAATCAGCAAGACCCAGACGGCAGCTAGACGTCTGCTGTCTGCATCTCCCACCCATCTCATGTTGGTGATCGGTAAAAGCTTGCAGTAACCATCTGCATCTCACATGTTCGTGATGAGTAAGCTTGCAGGGCACCAGAGCCAGATGCAGGTCTCCTTACTGCAAAGAGCAGGGCAAGCCCATGTGTGTTACCCAGCGAGGCGGTTATGCCCCCTTGTTTATCATCTCATCATTACATTTCCCAGAAAGAATCGTAGGAGCCTAGCTTGCCAAGTTGACACTATATGTGGCTACAGCATCAACCTGTTGGTTTTTGGCAGCTGTTAATTTCATTGCTGGCCTTCCATGACGAGCTGTTTCTGCGTTACCCACCCTCGCGGCACACCGCACACCCATTTTATGGCCCACACACGCATCTATAGAAAAGCAGCCGGTTCACGGGTTCCCGTCGCGCAAGACTGCAACCAACTAGCTGCTAGGCACGAGGGCTTGGCGTCGGGAACCCAGCCGCCGGACGATCGCACGCCGATGGGCTGCAACTGCAAGATCGTCGCCGCCGCCCTCGCGCTGGCGCTGCTGGTGATCGGCGCGGCCGAGGCCCAGATCCTGCCCACCCCCTGCTGCCGCATTGACTGCTGCGACGGCAAGCCCGAGTGCTGCAGTGCCGGCCCCTGGATGGCCGTGGACGCGGTCACCCCGCCGTCCGCTGTGGCCTTCGCCGCCAGCGACGCCAAGGCTCGTCCAGGTGGTGCACCTCGCAAGGTCGGCGCTGGGAACTAGTCCGCTAGTGTCCTAGGCTCGGTCGCTCGGACCTTTCGGACGTCGGGTGCTGCATCTGTGTGTACTAGGTAGGCTATGCCGTTCTCGTGTGGTGTTTGCAACTGGCAAGGCTTATCCACATTCTTGTCCTATTCGATGTTAGCTTTGTTACTGTATGTCTACTACGTAAGCTACTGCCGAGTTGTTACGTACGACGGTTCCATCCATAGATGTACTGCCAGTATACTCCAATTTAACCGTCTGCATCTGCATGTTTAGTGTACGTGGAAGAACTTCAAAGGAACTTTTGGAAACAATCGAGCGTATAGAAGTTACTTAAATAAATGTTCTGGCTTCAAAAATTATTGTTCCAGCGTAAATAAAGGTTCTAGAAATATATGTGATTTGCATCGTAACACGTAACTTTTAAAAGATACACCTGCTCAAATTTCCTAAATATGAGCTATATATAACCCTTACCACTGGTTATTTAGGGTGTGATATTTAGGGTGTGATACTCTGTTCACCTCATGAGAGCTTAGTGAATAGCGATCATATCCGAGGCTTGTAATTGTATTTAGTAGACTCTTAGTGACTGATTAGGCATTAGCTTGTGAGAGCTAGATAGTTGGCCTGACTACACTTGTAATCTTGGTGTGGCGGAGCCTTGGAACCTTGGTGGCTCCTTGCAATGTCGATGACCCTCCAAGCTTGGTTTGGAGTAACAGTGACTTAGTATTTGGGGATCAGGAGAACCCCTGTTTGGTAGAGAAATTTCGTAGTAGACGAGAGAGTCGGGTATCAAGCGGTGAGCCTAAGTGGCTTGCCATTGTTGTCTTGGTTGGCAGGGGCCTTTATAGTGAGCCCAACACCATAGTCTAACACCATGACCAAAGGCATACTTTAGTGGAACTATAAATAGGTGTTACATTTGGCAATCGGCACCACGGGATACATAGCCGCGTCTTAGAAGTTTGCCTTTCTTGCTTTCTTGTTTTACTTATAACATTTACACTTCTGCTTGCGTGTGCCTTTACCGGTTATCTTAGGCTACTTGATATAATTAGTTATAGATTGCAAAATTCTTGTTTGGTATACAACAAGTGGAGGCACTAGATAAACACAAAGGTGCACATATTACTAGATTATTGTTTTGTTTATCTAGTGTAGAATCAAGTTTTTATCCTTAGGTTACAAAAAAAAATAGTGACTCAATTCACTCCTTCCTCTCTTGGATCACACCTTTGGACCCTTGCAAGGACGTTGATTTCCCTTCACTAATTTCATTATTTACTGGTCCTAATTGATGGAGAATGAACTTTCCTCACCCACAAATAGAAACACTAAATAACACAACAAAAAGACTATCACAATGCAATTTATTTTCCTTAGTATTTACATGTAGACTCTCATATACATACACACACTACTTATATGAACACACAGATATATACCTTTTCGTTATAAGCACCCTGAGAGATTGAGCTAGTATATTTTGAGATTAATAGAGGTTGTGTATATCCGTGCATTGAGGATTGAGATAGTAGATTTTGAGATTGATAGAGGCAGTGTATAGACCTTAGATAGAGCCGATAACTTGATCTTAATCTAGTTCGAGCAGTGGAGGTCGACCGGATCGATGCAGCCGTACTTGAACTAAACAAGAGTCGATAACTAGCTTATACTAGAGTCGCAGTGGAGGTCGACCGGATCGATACAGCCGTACGAACAGAAGTATAAGCCATGACAGTACTTACAGATGAGCCGGAGGTCGGCCGGACCGATGTAGCCCTGCTCGCTGAAGAACTCGTCGAGATATACTCTACTCCTACTCCTAAGGGGTGGCCGGAGCCGAAAAAAGTAAGTAACTTGTATTTGATTGATTGTGTGTCTTTTACAATAGCCGGGGGTCCAATATTTATACCCAGAACCTACGCATGATTCCTACTTAAGCACAACCCATCATAATTTTTGGCCTAAGAGAAAACATTCCTAATTTAAGATAACTTGGACCCTAATCTTTTTCTTTTTGTAGAGTCCAACATGTTTTTCTCGGCGCCGATTGTAGCTTTTGTCGTTATCTACTGGCGCTATCTGAAAAAAGCCGATTCGAGTGTTGCATTCGAATCAGCCGATACCGACCTTCATGCAATCGATTCCTTGATGACATGATCTTGGGAGCTTTCGAGTTCATGCAATTCTTCCTCCAAATTTTGGTGTAAACACATGCCCCCCAATTTTGGGATAAAAGTAATTTTATTCCAAAATTATCACGTCTGTACCCCCGATAGGTCCGCAGTCACGGGTAGAGAATCTTGATCTGGGGTATACTGTTTGTCACCGTCTATGTCAGCTCATAAGCCCATGCTTCGAAACTTTTACGAGAGCATCATTGCTTTACGGGCGCTTGGATTCATCTTTCCAAGCCGACTATAAAATGTCTATTCGACTTTGGTGAGAGCAACTCAACAATTTAGCTATGTTTCTCTTCCATCTGCTCCCTCGAGTGCCTCTGACTCCGTCGGACCCTCCATGGTCTATCCTTTTGCTATGAAGATCTTGAGCGGTTAGGAGAATTCTTGTGCATAGGGTGATTGTGTCGCTCATCTTAGCGCCTTGTCGAGCAAGAGTATCAGCTACTGTGGTTAGAAGAATTCTTGTGATACCACCTGAGTCTTCTCTCCATGCTCGCAGAGCTATTCTAGTGTTTGCAGGGGCTAAAATATGTGGACACCTTCCCCTTATTTGCTCCATCAAATGCCCATCGGGAAAGCCACAGGCTTCTTTCCCACAGTTTCCTAGTCATCGAGAAATCAGCTGGGCATCTGTTAGGCAGGCGGTTTTCCCCTTCTCTGGCACAATTTTATCAACAGGCCAATGTGACTCGGTTTATGATGACCTTCGGCCCTGTGGGGATTCGGACTTCCTTCAATTCAAAGAAGCTTTAGTGGGTTGATCGCTGGTCAATGTAAATCTTTCGTATCCCATGATATTCTATAATTATGGGAAGCAATAAGTCCGAATCTGTTATCTCTTCGTTATCTGTCCCCTAAATTTCCGGAGTGTCGATCCATTTCCGTATCTGACTTCAATTTCACACCTCCGGCGAAATCTAACGTCTCACCTTCTCGGGCTATATATACGGGCCACGACTGTGGATAAAAAACATCCTGCTTCATCTCAAACCTTTCGTATTTTTAGTGTGGCTTCTACTTTCCCATAGGTTTAAGATAATTGAGAACATCAAGAGGTCTGCTGAGGAGGCCCTCAATGGATCTGCTTCATCACGCCAGCGCCTTCATCACCAGGAGGGTACAACTCATGATGCTCTTACTGCTTCGGGGCATAGGGCCGACTCCGTTCGGCCTTCGAGGTTCTCTCTGTCAACAGCTCGCCACCAGCTCCCCTGCTATCCGAGGAGGTGGGTCGACAATGACGACCTGCTTGCCTCCATCGACAGGCATGGCCAGAATCTCATCGACTATCTTTCCCTCACAGAATCGGCTCTGGCCATGGTCCGATGCTGATCGCCTCCCAAGGCCGATTCGGTGGAGGATAGGTTGGCCAAGGCTGAGGCCAGAATCATGGGTGAGATATCCATCATAACTTTTGCTTCCTCTCAATCTCATCTTTAAGATTATGATTATCTCCGCTTTGAATCTTTTAGATTTGTCCGCTCAACTGGAAAGCCTCCGATTGGCTACGGATTACGCGGCGAGATTTGTCAATGCTAGAGGCGCCGTCCCGGTGGTTCGCCTGCACGACATCCCGAACCATGTCAGGGAGGTCGCTTTGCATGGCGTTCGTCATGGTGCCGCCATGACGTTGGCAGCTGCGCAAGCCCGTTCTGGCCACGAACTTTGGTTTCTTTCCCACGGTTTTCCAGCCGCGGCGCACCCTGGGGATCATGAGCGCCTGGTTGAGGATTTCTTCAGCGCCGCCAACTCCATAACCTTTATTTCCCAGGCCGATGATATAGTAACCAAAGTGTTTCCCGGCCCGTAGTTTGTAATAGGTGATATTTAGCAAACAATTTCTTCGTCTTGAGTGATTTTCCTTTGCTTCATACTTCATATCATATGCATCACTTTGTCCATGTTTGCTTTGCTCCTATAGACGATACACATCGTACTGGCTTTTACCCCTTCGGGTTTATTTTTGCACTAGAGGTGATACCTCTCTGGTATCGGCTATTAGAGCCGATGACCGAACCAATCGGTTATCAAGTATTAATCCAGACGCTAGGGTAACATTTCTTTAGATATTTCCCATTGATTGCTCTACCAAATTCTTCCTCTCCTCTTAGTGTTTCCAAAATATAAACATTACTAGGCGCACAACGTTTGATCTGATAAGGTCCTTCCCAATTAGGTGACCATTTGCCGAACTTACTATCCTTTGACCCGATCGGTAATTTCACTTTCCAGACCAAGTCTCCTTTAGAGAATTACTTAATCTTGACCTTTTTATTGTAATATTTTGTAACCCTCAGTTTATTGGCTTTGATATTTTCAAGAGCACGTAGCCGAAAGCAACTCAAGTCCTCTAAGCCATCTATCATAAGATTCTTGTAGACTTCGGCTGATAAATCATTTTGCAATGTAACACGCCTCGATCCAGTCTGAACGTCCCAAGGAAAAACTGTATTATGGCCATACACAAGTTCATAAGGTGATGTTTTAATTGATCCATGATAGGCCATCCTATATGCCCATAGTGCCTCATTAAGCGTTGAATGCCACTTCCTTGGCTGTTCCTCAATCTTTTTCTTGATCAGCTTAATCATAATCTGATTGGACACCTATGCCTGGCCATTAGCCTAAGCATAGTAAGGAGAAGAATTTAGTAGCTTGATTTCCATACTGGCAGCAAAATCTTCAAACTCTTCTGATGTGAACATTGTCCCTTTGATCGGTAGTTATAGTTTGAGGAATCCCAAAACGATACACAATGTGCTCCTTGATAAAATCAACCATGTTCTTTGAGGTTACCGTCTTCAAAGGAATTGCCTCAACCTATTT